TGCAGGCTCAGTGCACCCTGACCTAGGGATCAAACCCTGGTCCCTGTTCTTGAACTGTCTTGCTGACCCACATTTCTGGTTTTTAAGTAATAACATTTTGGATCAGAAGTAAGCAGATCAAAGGAAGTCCATACTTGTTTTTCTGTTGTACTGTAGAGGTCTATTTTACAACAGACCTTATAAATAGATCTTATAAGGCTGTGTATAAGATCCTTTGCTTTGAATAATCCTTAAAATTAGGCATTAAGAGGGTCGGCCAAATAGCTCAGTGGATTAAAGTACCTGCTTAGGCAAATGCAGGGGCCAGAAGTTCGATCTGACCACACCCCCAGGGCGCTCTGAGATGGAGATTGAGACTGGGCATGGTGGTGCATGTGCCTATAATCCCAGCACTTGGGAGACTGTAAACAGCAGGATCACTACGAGTCTGAGATATGCAGTGAGACCCTGTAGACCCTGCCCTAAATACACACGCACCAAAAATTTAGGCATTAGCATCATCTTGAATCTTTACTATACCGATGAGTTGAAAATCCAAGTCATCGCCTCAGTTGACACTGCTCAGATATTATTTGTAGGTCTTTGTGCATCCTGCACATCCATTTTTCTTTTGGAGTGCTCACCTTGTTTTAAAGGTGAAATCCTGTCACTGGTAATACTTCACTTTAAAACTTCAGGAACACATTGGTGAGGTTGGTCACGTGGGCATCATGTTCCGAGGAGCCTGCAGAGTCCTTGATATTTTAAACTGTTCCTCACCAGGTGTTCATCTGTGAACACCTGCAACCACTGAAGAGAAAGGAAAAGCCTAAAGAAAAGTCTCTGGACCTTCTCCTTCAGCAAGTCGTGTTTGTGGCAAGAGGAGAACACACAGGTGCGGATCCAACCGCAGCCCTTGCCTTTAATTGTGCTAATAACTCAAGTAAGACAATTCATAACCATTTGGTCCAGCATCTTAATTTTACCTGTTAAATTATTCATGTGAGTACTTTTATAAGTTTAGCCATGAATATTTGATTGCTGGTGAATTCATAACCATAAACTCTCCCAGCGTTTGATGATTCTCATTTATATCCAATTAACATATATGGGAAGGTGGAGAAAATTTATTCTGCTTAATATGAGGCACACCTTTCCCCTCAGACTTACTGAAACTGTCAGGCAAACATTTACTGTGAGCAGGGGTCAATGTGTGCCTCTTCTGCTCGTTTCGTAAGTGCTCTAGTAATAATCTTCATTATCCGGGAGAAGATGCTGTAGGTCTGCAGTTTACAACAAGAGAGATGACTTTTAGAGGGCCACGTGGTTTCCCAGGAGTCACCCAGCATGTGGGTGACCGAGAATGGATTCACATCCGGGTCATAGTGGCTTGAATTCCTCCCACCATCGCCACCTTGCCACTTGCCTCAGGGAGCATGTTGGCAGCACCAGCCATCACCAGGGCAGACCTGGGGACCCACGTGTCCCCTCCCGTTACATGCACGGATACACACAGCCTCTGCCTGCTGTACCTCCTATGAGAAGGTACACAGGTTGCGGGCAGCTAGGTGTGGGCAGCCAGGCGGGCACGTCACGTTTGTTATTCACATGAACCCTAGTCTGTGGCTTGTACTTCTGGTTGGTGCTAACTGTAAAAGTGAGAGGGGAATCCCAGGTCCTGCCACAGACCTTTCAGTTCCTCTTGAGGCTAAACGAAGTAAACCATTCTGTTCTGCAGGGAGGAAGACCATGGTTAAGTTAAAAGCCAGTGAAGACATCGAGCACTTAAGTCAATAACTGCAATTAGAAATCCAGGAAATGGACAACCCCCAGACATATCAAACATCTCAGTTATTTTTGCTCAAGTTAGATCACTTCTATAATTATCCTATTAGGTCTGCATACATCAGGCCACGAACTGGTGTTAGCCAGAATTATAATCCCATAAAATGATCGAGAACAGTGTTCACACACAGGAAGGGTCCTGCGGGCTTAATACTGTACCTTCTGAGGCTACAGCCTCTCTGTGGGTGGGTCGGGCCTTAAATCAGGTGGTGATTTAAGGCCCCAGCGGGTCTTCAGAGCCCCAGAAAGCTAAACTCCCTTTTTTCTGTCTGAGTCCTTCATGATTCAGATATTTTCCTGTAGCGGAGCCTGGAAATCAGCATTTCAACCCTGCTTCCAGGCGAATCCAACGTGCAGCATGGCTTAGGTGTAGCGGACGGTTCTGGGTCCACACCTCGGAACTCTGGATTTTGTACGCCAGCTGGTGCAAGCCCGCTCAGGCAACTTAGCTTGGGAGTCCTCGGTCCAGAGTCTGGGCGTCACAGCCCTTCCCTGTTCCCTCTCGTCTCCTGCACTGCTGCCGTCAGTGCCGCCTTCTGCCCACCTCTGAGGGATTTGCGGGGTGCCTGGTGCTTGTCTGCGACTTCTTTGAGTTTAAGCATCCGCATCTTGTGTGTCCCCATCTGCTGGCTCTCCCCTGCCAGGCCCTAAGGGTTCCTCCCGGTGCCCCCCGCAGCTCCCTGCTCTCCACCACCTGGGAGGGGCTCTCTCGGCTGTCGCAACTCCTGTCTCTGTGTTGGGGTGCATCTTTATGCTTTCAGTTCAGTTCCTCTGGTTTGCATTTTTAAAGGAGACAAACCAAACAGCCCCGTGCCTGCCACACACCGGGCCTGCAGTCGGCCTCTAGCTGAAGGCGGGGGCGTTAGCCCACGAGGGGCTCACATCCCAACCCCATCTCCATGCTATTTAAAAACCTCTCATCTTCCCATATGGTACAGTTGTCTTGACAAGAACTCCGCTGCTGCCCTACTAGGAACTGCGCTTCCCTTTTGCTCGTGAGCATGAAAACGCGCTTAGTGTGTCTGTTCTTCCCTAAGACCACTTTGCTCATAAAATACTTGGTGCTTTCCTCATCCCAGCTTTTCCTTCCCATTGAGCAAGTTCTTTCCCTATCGCAGTATGTGCTGTACCTTTCGGATTTTACTTACTCTTTTAAGTTCTTACCCTATCGAGATAATACGATGTTTGCACATGCGGATCTGACTTATCTCTCTTACTAATAGTCTCTTGCTGCATCCATTTATCTGTACAAGCGTCTAATTTATCTTTTTTATAGCTGAATAATACTCCATTGTGTAAAAGTACCACATCTTTTTTATGCATCCCTCAGTTGATGAGCACTTGGGCTGTTTCCAAGATTTAGCTACGACAGATTGTGCTGCTGTAAACGTGGGTGGGGAAAGAGATACATTGAGGTATATATGCAGGATGGTTTGGAGAATTGTACTGTTGGTTTCTGCTAGTGTTTTGAAAGCAGCAGTTAATACTTAAAATTCTTTTTATTTTTTGGTCTTATATTTTTTCTTTTGAGTTTTTTTTTCAAAATTTTATTGATAAACAGCAATGAGACAGTTTCAAATCAAATCGGAAGTACAGTTTCAACAAATAATACACTGCATATATTCTTCTTAGTGGTTAATTGCTGTACAAGATGCGGACTTGAGATCCTATTTACAAACACCATTAGAACAAATCATTCTATTCATTAAGAGAATGCAACTATATATCTATCCTAACCACTTTGAATACACAGATACAAAATGGACATTCATCCGTATACCCCATTGTTCTAAGTTCCGTTATTGAATATTATAGGTGTGTAAACTCAGCAAAATATTCTAAAAGAGTCCAGTAGCCCATAATAGCATTGGGTCTTCTGTTTAACTGGCAATGTCAGAAATTATTGACCTGAGTCCCCCACAGCTCAACATAACAGCATGGCTTTACTTCCTATATTTCGTCTTCATACTTTTCTACTGGATCTTTTGAATTTTTTTAAAAAAACTTTTCTTCTTTGTTTGTTTTCTCTTTAAACCAATCTTACATATTTATATCTGTTATCCTCAATAGCTAATTTGAAGATAACATCGTGCAATACAGCAACCATTGTCAAATTCCTATTACTTTGTTTAGTGCAAGTTTGTGTCATTTCTAATGCTATTTTTCTCCATCATTATTTTCTATTCTTTAAAAAAAATTTTAAAAAGATACCTGGTGTTGAATTTTGTATAGGGAGCCCCCTTGGGAAAGCTGCTGAGACCACTCGTGGATCAAAGTGGTCCCTGTGTGAGACACAGCCTTGGGGAAGCCCGGGGTCCACCTCGATTTTGTGGCTTCTCTCCCTCGATGGTCCTGTGGGAATGGCTCCCTCAACCAAGGCATGTGGACAGAGACTTTCTGCAGAATTCTCAGCTGAGCAACAGAGCACAGGGCATAATTTTCTTTTGAATTTTACCTGCTGATGTTTATGATGGCAGGACTGTTTTCAGAGTCACGGGGTCCCACAGAGGAGGGAGAGGGGACGCTGGGCTTTCAGGGTCTCCGGGCACAGGGCTGGCTGACCTGAGGGCTGATGGCTCCCCACTGCCTTGGTCAAGCAGGTGGAAGGGGTAGGAGGGGCTGTTGCAGGCTGAACCAAGGGCGGCTGGGTGGTATGGCTTTCCCCTGACACCTGAGTCCTTTACATGCAGGAGATTTCTCAGGAAAGACCTCAGGTTGAAAGCTAAAAGCAAGAGAGGGCAGGAGAAGAGGGGATCTAACTGGGGGAGCAGTCCTCCTGTGCCGCCACCCAGCCACTCTGTGAGTGTGCTTGAGCTTTTGCCGCTCTTTGTGTTTGAGGCGCTGGAATCCACATCCAGGCACCAGGCTTCATTCCGGTCGCTAGAGGTAAGCATGTCCCTTTCTCCTGGTCCACTTGTCCCGGTGCTCTTGTGAGCAGGACCAGAGCTCCACGTTGGCCTGATGTCTCAGGCTACTGTGGAGCGTCCTCTCTGTGCCTTCCAGAGCAGGGACACAGCAGGGGCACAGGTGGCGCCTTTCGTGCACAGGGGGCATGCGCAGTCCTCTGCAAGGTCACCGCAGAAAAGACATTGTTAGCATAGCCAGGCCAGTGCTGCGAGCCATGGCCCCGGTGTGACAGCTGACTCACCCCTGGGGTCTCTGTCCCACGACTGCAGGTGGCTCTACTGTGGGGACTGCACCTGGACGAACTCCGCCCGTATTGGCCCGCGGCCACCAGCTCCTCCTGGTGCAGATGGCTGCGCTCCTGAGGAAGCGACTGCTCCGCACATGCCGAGCCTGGAAGAGCACAGCCTGCGACCTGCTGCTGCCCGTCCTCTTCGTGGCCTTGGCCATGGGCTTGTTCATGGTGCAGCCTCTGGCCACTGAGTACCCTGCACTCCAGATGACGCCGGGCCACTATGAGTCGGCGGAGGCGTATTTTTTCAGGTAGGAAATGCACTCTCTTTTTCTCAGAGTATGTCGGGTGGGCGTAAGGTTTGTGAGGAAACAGAGAGAAGCACAGCAAGGGTGAGGAAGGCTTTTATTGAGGCAAAATGCTGGGCAGACCTCTGAGGCAGAGACCCTGGTAAGGGTGCAGTGAGCTGGTATTTTGCAGGGTGGGGCACTAGAGTCATTGGAAGGGGGTGTGAGCATTTCTGCACATGCTCAAGGGCCAGTTTGAATAACAATCTGATGTTTGCATAAGATTAGGGTCATGGCACAGTGACACTGGGACTCAGGGATAAGTTTGTGTGGGTTGGCTTTGACAGCTTGGCTGTGAGCTGTTTTTCTTGTGAGAACACCTGGTGACAGCAAAAAGAGTAGGGAGTTGTAACCTGGAAAGGGTTGGGCATATTGCCCTTAACTGGGTTATGAGTAGTGTTTTGGACTGAAGTGTTCCCCCAGAACCCGATGTGGAAATCAAGTCTCCAGTGAGGACACTGTACTGGGATGAGGCTTGGGAGGTGAGAAGGGTGGGTCCTTCATGAATGGGATTTGTCCCCTCTGAAGGGACCAGGAAACTAGCTGGACTACTTCCTTCTCTGTGGGGACATTCTTGGAAAGCATATTCCCTAGAGCCATCAAATGCAGCGCAGTTTTCTAAACAGAACAAAGCAATGCTGAAATGCTTCATGAGTGGGACAACTCCCAGAGCCAGGCAGGTTCTGAGGATTCCAGGCAACAGTGTGAGCAGAAAGCCTGAATGACAGACGTGTGGCATGGAAGACAGCTTCGGTGCCTGCAGTGTGGCGGGTGAAGCGGCCAGCTTTCTGCAGCTTGAGGAATCATCTGGTGCTGCCAGTGACCAGCAAAGCTCATCACTGTGGTTGCATTTTGCACTGAGCCCAGTGCCGGGGCTGGCTCCATTCTTGGCTGTGCATAAGTTTCGCCAACGATACAGTGTGTTCCACATGAGGGAGGCATGGCCCTGTGACCCAGGAGAGGTTCCAAGGCTGGGGCCCGGTCTCTGAGTACTGGCCTCCAGGACCACGGGGCGTGAATTTCTGTTACTGGAAGTATCCTGACGTGTGGTCATTTGTGAGAGCAGCCTGGATGAAGACCAGTAGCAATAGCTTTGATGTTGTCAAGAATTTCAGTTAACAAATTTTTAACCTGTGGGCTGGAGTGATAGTATGATGGCAGTGTTTGTGTCACCTGTGTGAAGCGCTGGCTTGGATCCCTGTTTCAGTTACATTTTCTTTGTTGCTGGGACAAAATACTGACACCCAAAATTTTAAAAAAGAAAGGTTTATTTAGTTCACAGTTAGTGGAGGTTTCAGTCCATACTTCGCTGGCTCCAAGGCAGATGGCAGCAGTTCGTGGTGGCAGAAAACAACAAAGAGCAGAAGAGGAGCAGCAGCTACGGCATCTATCAAGCCTTTCTCTCTTCCTTCCATACTAACTGTGAAGACTGGAGCTCCTCCAAGGAACAGGCACTGTGAAGTTCACAACTGCTCCAAGGAAGTGGGGTACACAGAAGCCTTCCTCAACCCCTTTATATACTGAGTCATTCTAGGGCAGACCCTCCTGCCCTAGGGCACGACCCCCATATCCCAGAGTGTGGAATTGCCAAGTGGATCCAGTCAAGCTTCCAACATCTCAAGTTGACACAATGTATCAACCACCACAATCCACCCCAAGGTGTCAACTTGGCCACTACACATATACTTCTTTAAACCAGTTCTCCAGATACAAAGACATGCTTCTGAACATTTCACAGCTTGGACATCGTAACAGCCTTAGTAGTCCTTAAGAATCCCTATTAAGTCTATCAACATCATATTACATGAAAATCATAACATTCTGCCCCTGACCCCTGAAATCCTCGTGCACATCCCTTTATTCAAAAGGCATGTAGTCTATCTGCAAGAGTTGTCAGAGTCCTAACAGTTTCAGCAATGCTGAAAGGTTCAAGTCCAAAGTCTCCAAGATCTAAGGTAAACTTTTAGTTGTGAGCCCCTGTACAAATGCAAAGTTAAGCACTTCCAACATTCAAAGGCACAAGAGAAACATTTCCATTCCCAAAGGTATACACAGCAGGTTACAATGCATGACCAAAAGAAGTCCCAGTTGGGAGAGCCTTTTTACCAAGATGGCGCCGAAAGCAAAGAAGGAAGCCCCTGCCCCTCCCAAAGCTGAAGCCAAAGCAAAAGCTTTGAAGGCCA